CAATTTAATTTTTAATTCAATTGGAAAATAGCATTCACATTAATTACTCAAAAGCTTTCAAAAAATTAAAATTCTAAAAAAAAATTAAACTCTTTCCTCAGAATAAAAGCTCATACATTATATTTGCGTGGAATAAACTGAATTATGCGGACCATTAGGAAAGTGAATGCTTTCCGAAATATTCCAGTCACCTTTCAAGTTACTGTCAATTATACTGCCCAAGATATTTGTGAACAATTATTAGTTCAATATTTATTATTAATTTACCGTTTTGTTATTTACGGCTTTGTGTACAGTTACGGCTTCGCTATGGGTTAGTTACGCCTTCATTATTATAATTTATTTTTACTTTCTTTTGAGTGTTGACATCGTAGTATAGAATCACTAAATCATCTGCATACATATATATTTGCCAATGGACTTTCAAATTGGTAATTTCATTTATATAGCAAATAAAATATATAAAAATTTTAAAATAATTTTTTCCTAACAAAACAATACTCGTAAATTAGAAAACTTCAAATCCAAATGAATACACTCATTCTATTTGCGCGACTCGAGAAATGTGAACAAAAAATGAGGTGCAAAAGTTCTAAGTAAAAGAAATTAAGCCATTCCAAAAAAAGTTTACAAAAACTGCTCACATTCTCTTACTCTTTCTCTTTTGTAAGCAATAAACAACTCTTAAAACACTTGTGTATTTTATAACAAAAACATAAATTGTTTCTGAAACATTAAATTTTATACTTAATTATAATAGGTTCTTTTTGATTACATAAAAATAAAAGAAATATTAAAATTAATTAAAAAAAATAAACTTTTAAAGCTCTTTAACGTGATTTAAATTTTAAATTTTATGGCGGACACAAAAATTACAAAAATATTTTAATTATTTTTTTTACATTTCTCAAAAAAATACCGACCGACCGACCCATAATAAATTATTTCCTCTCTAACATTTTAATTTTTATACAAAAATACACTGTGACAATAAAAAATGAACCAAATGGTAAATATTTTAAGAATAATGAACTCTCAGATAAAATTGAAAAGGTAAAACCAATTTTCAATTAGAATTATAAGAAACGAAGGTTTTCCTTTTCGTGACATTGAAATATTTTACAATTAAACACGGGCCATTAAGTATTTGACGTATTTATATTTTGTTTTTGTATTAAATCGGATACAGTGTGTGTCATTAATTATAAATATGATTTCAATAATTGATGACACATACTGTACACACTAAAAATCATTCCAATATTGTTATTGTAAGTATTTTGGAAATTTCATCAAATAAAAATGCAATTTTTTGTGAAAATAAAACTAAATTTGTTCAAATTAACTGAAAATTATTCGGTGAAATCGAAAATATTCTTAAAATTTTAAATTTTTTCGAGAGATTCATTACAATTAAATTGTGTATTTCGCTTTTTCATCTTGGTTTTTATTCAATTTCAAATCTGATCAAATTTTTAAATGACTATGTAATTTTTCTTTCTCAAAATATCAACTGAACTTAACTCAAATTTTGTATACAAGTTAATCTAATACGAACAAGAATACGAAAAAATTCTTAATTAATTAATTTCTTCTCAGTTGGCGAATAAAATAGCGAGTTACACGACAACTTGCTTAATTACTATCGATTCCGAATTCTGCATAATTATAGATCTTTTAAAAACGTAAGCAGAACAAAGATTCTGATTCTTCTAATCTGTTCTGTCTTCAGTCTGTATTCCGATTTCTTTATTGAATTTTTAGTAATTTCGAGAAAGAGTAACTAATTTCTACTCGCATTTATACAGAAAATAAAGATTAAATTAAAAATATCTACGGTACTCAAAATAATTATTTTATAGAATATTATTTTCAATAACCCAAACAATTTTTTAAAAATTTCTTTAGAAAATATTTTTAAAAGAAATTTTTATTTTCATTTTTTCAATAACAATTTATTTATAAAATACTTAGAATTAATAAAGAAGTCAAGAAGTTGAATAAAACAAAAAAAAAACGGGAGGGAACCTTTTCAAAAACAATAATACTGACAAAATACACATTAAAAAAAAAAAAGGAAAATCAAAATTAAATACAGTCAATTTCAAGACAATAAAAAAAACAATATAACAAAAAAAATTTTATAATATAACAATAAAAGTATCAAATACTTATATTATATAAAAATGTAATTGAATATTAAAAGTATTTAAATGTAAACAGTACGCAATTGTATACGAGTACCTTCTCTTTTGTATACCTTTGTAACTTTATAACAAGGATATACGCTTAAATGCATAATAAAAGAGAAGAAAAATAAATGAATAGGTGTAATTAAGTGTTATTAAGAAAATTTCATTGTTTTACTGCCTTTCTTTCTCACTTCCTTATAAGAACTTTTTAAATTTTTAAAAATTTTTTGGTAAGAAACACAAACTTAATGAAATCAAAATTATAAAGAAGAAAAAGGTCTAAAATTTTTGTTAAGATTCCAAGGTCATAAAGTCTATTTATGTATGAATAAATGTACACGGTGTACAAAAGAGAATATTTAAAAAAAAAAAATTAAATCACTTAAAAAATATTAAAAAAGATGAAAAGCGAAAAGCAAAAAAAAAAACCAGTAATAATTTTCTTCTTATTCTTCATTTTCATCGTCATTATTTAGAATTTTCATTCTTCTTTCTTCAAAGTTTTACTTATTTTATTTTTCTTTATTTATTTTTTTCCTATATGTAAAACTTCTTGGTTATCAACACAAAAAAGAATAATAATCGCATCAAATTCTCTGTTGGGGGGATCTTATAAAAGAAACTTTTCTGTTTTATTTTGTTTAACAAAATTTATAAAAAAAAAAAAAGACTTTATTTAAGATTTTTCTCTCTTTTTAACAATAATTATTATTTATTTTATATAGAAATTTTGTAAATGCAAAAAAGATTTAAAATTATTATTAAAAACAAAAAATTTGAATAAAAGAAAAGCTTGATGATTTTGCCCGTTTAGGCGTAACACTAAACTTATGTGTTTATTTTCTTAAGTATAACAGATTTTTTTTTTTTCAAATCTGCCATAAAAAATCATTGCAAAATTATATAAAAATCGAAAAATCTTTACGGATCGAAAAATTTGTTTAAGTTTTTTAATTAATTTTATTAAAATTTTGAATATTCTCAATTTATTGCCTGATACAATCGAAAATCGGAATCGGACGGATCGGAACAATCGAATATTATTTGGTTACCTTAATTTCAAATATACTGTATTTAAATATGCAATATTAAAATGTTTCCATCGCTGGCAAAACTGTGATACCACGTAAGTGCAAATGTTTCCAAAAGTACTTTACCAATTTTCTGTTTATGAAATCTCAAACAGTGCATCTTTAAAATTTGCGAAACAGTAAAAAATAATAAATAATTACATATTCTTTAAATAATTTTCATATTTTCATAAATTTAAAAGATGGATTGTTTGACATTTCCTAAACAGAAAATTGGTAAAGTACTTTTGGAAATATTTGCACTTACATGGTATCACAGTTTTGCCAGCGAATATATTATGTATAACAAAAAATATAATGAAAACATTTTCCAATACAAAAAATTTATAATTATTATAAACTGTTATACAACTATTATAAAACTATTATACAAAATCTTATTTACTACAAAATTTAATGTATAAAATATTTTCTGATAATATTTTTATAAAAATAAAAGTCTTAATAAAAATTTACAAGAAAATTTAAAATTATTAAATTCAATTTTCAATAAAAATTATTACATATATATATAAGAAATATTTATTTTAATATTAATGTAAGTCTATAAAAATCAAATCTACATGCTTTAATATCATGCTAATTATTCCTATAACTGCATGAATTACAAAACGACCAAAAAATTCCCACTGTTTTTACATAATTAAATACAAAAATTTTTTTAAATAAAATTATTTTTAGCAATTTCTTTCGTAACAATTTCGTTCGAATTATTTCTTAATCGCTTTACTTTGACATTTTTAATAATTTAAAAATCTGACAATTTATCTCTTATTTTCCTTTTTATTTTATATAATGTCCTGTTAAAAGGAGCATAAATTCCATTTGTCTCAATAAAAATAAATTATTTATTTTGGCAAAAAAAAAAAATTTATTAACGATTTTGTTTTTTTTTGCCTGTTCTTTTTTTCTAATTTTTATTTTCCATTTTAGGAAAAAAAAAATATTTTTTTTTTGCTTTTGTTTTTTGAAGCCTACGTGAATTTTTTTTTTAATGGATTTTCATTTTATTAAAAAGTTATTTAATTTCCTGAGCGCGTGAAATTTAAAGCACAAAAAAACAAATAAAACGCAAACTGGGTGATTTTTTTTTTCTAATAAAAAAAAAATCAATTTATATAATTAAAAAAAGTAAAAATAAAATGGCGAATATTATGTAGGCGAAGATATCTAATTTTTGTTTTTGACTTCATTTTAAAATTATTTGGAAAAGCAAAAATTGGTTATAAATGCGTGTGAGGTTTATTTTATTTTGAAATTAAAATTAAAATAAAAAAAATTTATTAAAGTGCGCAATTTTATATCCAGTAGGAGTTCAAATAATATTAGAATTTTTATTAGAAAAATTTTAAAAATAGTCAAATAAAACAGGTTTTTTATGTATGAATTATACAATTAGTTCCGCGCACTGTAGCGATTTCAAGGCAAATTAAATTGTTTTTTTTTTTTACTTACATAATCATGCAAGATTAAGGAGTCTTTTGCGCAAATTTTTGAAAATTTAATAAAAAATATGGCAAAATACCATAACCAAAACTCGTATGATACAATTATGAAAAATTATCAAAATATTTAAAGACCATATGCTTATATCTATAATTAAATTAAATTAATATTTTTACATTAAAACATTAATTTAACATATTTATTTACATAACTTATAAACTAATTATTAAAAAAAATATTTAATAATTTTTTAATTCTTCTTAAATTTCAGGTTATTTTAACATAACAGCAAGAACAGCAACATTATAAAAAAATATTGGATATATGAAGTGAAAATTTATACATTTGAATATAATTATGAAAATAATATCATTCATCCAGGATGAACGAAAAAAAAAAAATATCGAAAGATAATTTGTAATTATACAATTTTAAATTTAAGATTAAAATTAAATATTTTAATTTTAAAATTACATACATATAAAAATTCATATGAATGAAAAATTAAAAAATGAGCAAAATAATTTTTGACAATAATTAAATAAATATAAGAAATAATTCTATTGAATACAATAAAATGAAAATAAAATATCAAAAATATAAAAAGAAAATTATATAAATATAGAAATAGTTCATATTATATACCTGCAAATTAAATATATATACATATAATATTACTTTATCATCTACATATATATGAAAAATTAAAAATATTAATTCGAAAAATTGGAAATCGCTTCATTATATATATATGTATGTATAAAAGTTTTTGTTTCAATTTAGCAAAATTATTTTAATTTTAATGAAAAAATTTAACTGAAAAACTGAAATTTCAAAAATATTGTTTTAAACTGTTATACAAATTGTTATACAAACTGTTATACAAACTGTTATACAAAAAATTAATTTACAATAGACTTAAAATTTGCTAAAATTAATTTACTAAGATTTAATTTAACATTAATTTACAGTTAACTTATGATAAATTTATTTTTACAATTCATTTAAAATTTATGCAAAACATAATATTTATAAAACATATACATGTATAAAAAATTTATTAAAATTAATATAGAAATATTAAATATTATTATAGAAAAATTATATCCATAAAGAAATAATACATATCTATTTGAAAAATTATAGAATTAAACTATTATATATATTATATACTTATTAAGTAGTAGAAAAAAAAAAATTAAAAGAAAAAATAAAAGAAAATTACAAAAAATGAACCAAATATTTATAAAAATAATTCAAATTATACCAGCTATTAAAAATATAAATGTAGTATAAAATTATAGTAGAAAAAAAAATTATAGAAAAAGAGCATTAATTTATAAAAGTATACTTATTTAATAATTACTTAAAAACAAAATCATTATAATAATTGTAAATAAAAAACAAGAGAAATTAATATTTTTATAACTAATATTAAACAAAAAAAAAACCAAACTGGTATCAATACAATTCATATTATATATAAATTTATAAATTGTAAATATTCAGGTAAATCAAAAATTTAATTATTAATTATTATTTTGATGTTATTTATTATATTTATTGCTATTATTATACTATAATATTAATACGATAGTATAAAAATTTATTTAGAAAAGCTTAAAAGGGAAAAAGATATATGAACATTATTTGATTTTTCAATCAAAAAAAAAAATTGCAAATACATATTCAATATAATTTATTTATTATTAATTAATTAATTTTTCGTATAACAATTTAATATATTTTATCGTGTATATTATTTTATATATATGGAGAAAAAATAATTATATATTGTAAATTGATTAATTTTATGATTTCAGAATATATTATTATTAATTCACTATTCGACAACTATTTTTAAACTGTTATACAAAACTGTTATACAATTGTTATACCAAAAATTAAATTAATAATTTACTATGATTTTGTTTAAAATTCAATATTATACTTTTTATATATTAAAATATATTTATTTATTAAAATTTTATTATCAGATAAACCTAGTAACAATTTCTAGGCCAAAAAAACAGTTCAACGAGAAAAAGAATTGATCTGTCTAAATAAGAAGAAAGCCTATATTAATGAAATTATTTTCTCAATTACTTGAATTTACCTTAAATAATTGATAATTATTTTTTTTTATCATCTCTAATTTTATGCTCTAATTTGGCGCATGATATTGATTTTATAAGAAAAACTTTATAAAATTATCATTTTGAATAAAATATTTTAATTTTTCTTTACACTCAACAATGAGAGCTCCTTTTCAAATCGATACAAAATCGCCTACATATAATTTTTATAGTTACGTACTGATAATAATTATTTCTATATATAACATATATATTATATGTCATAGTTTGAATAATTTTTTCACTCTAATAAACATGGCAAATATTTTTTTCCTCTATACTATATATAATTAGTATATATACTATAAATATTACCTTTTATTAGATAATAAATGTATATTTGAACTAAGTTATTAAAAAACTAAGTATATTTCCTTCCAATGATTAATTATGTACATTTTTAATATGTATTTGTATTTACATATTTAGATAATAATATGTAATAATTGTGTTGTATTTTAGATTTCCCTTCTTCATAATAATTGATTATAAATTTATCAAAACAAGAAAAACCTCTATAAAATAATTTTACATGTAAACTTAATAATCTATATGTATATGTTATTTAGTATTTAATAGCATTTAAAAATGCTCAAATTTATTTTATTTACCTATCCGTATATTAAATAAAATGTAAAAAAAAAAAATATTTGTATATATTATATTGTTTAAAGAAAATAAAAAAAAATTAAAAATAATTGCGTCAGAAATTATGAAAATTTATAAAATAATTTTATCTAAATGTGTATAACACATAATATACATATTTTGTTTTCATTAAAGTTATATATAAATATATTATATAATATCGAAAATGGAAAAAAATAAATATTTGAAAAATTGAAGAATATTAGATGATTATTGAAGTGAAAGGCATGAACTATAATAATTTTTACTTCCATTAAATCAAATTTATTAAATTACTTATATCTAAATTTCGGTAAAAATAGTTATTGATATATGATAGGATTTACAATTAATTTCTTTTATTATATTAGTAAAGAACATCTAGTAAAGAACAACTCTACATATACATAAAGAAATTTTAAAATAATTTAATTTGAATACAATTTAAATAATGTTTTTAATTTATATTTCCTATATAATTTCAAAATCTTATATAATCTTTAAATTGCAACTACATATTATAATTTTGAAATTCAATTCGATTTATACATAACATTTCTGAATGAATATTATTGAACTAAAAAGAATTATTTTATTCAATAATTTAAATAAATTTAAAAAAAAAAATCTGCCGGAAATTGTATTTCAAGTTACAAAATTGTGGTAATTTGAATAATATAACAAATGAATTTCTTTATCTAAATCTCTTCTTAGTTGACAATATTTGAAAATGTAATAATACAGCTCATTTCCTATACAAAATTCGACTTTACATTCTTTCTTAAACTAGATTTTTTCATTATTTCAACAGTTGAAATCTAATCTCCCCCCTAAAAATATGTAATATTTCAAATTATTTAATTTTTAAATAAATATTTTATTTTTATATTTATTTACCTTTCATAATGGTTCATGCTTTCACCAAATAAATAAGTACTCAATTAATCCATATTTAATAGAAATAACCTTAAAACAAAAAAAAATTAATATTTGATATTAATAAAAAGGTATTTACGACGAAATTATTGAATGAAAATTAAAATTTTAAAATGAAAAATTTACAAAATTTATTAAAAAACAAAAATATCGACTTGATGATAATGATCACAGATAAAATATATCAGAAATTTAAATACATAATACACTAAGTCCTCGAGATACGACATTTTTGGTTCCAGAAATTTATGTCGTAACTCGAATTGTCGTTTGAGGAGGAAAAAAAAATGTATGGAAGCAAAAAGTGAACTAGACAAACTGTTTTATAAAATAATTGATCTTTTTTTTTTAAAAAAGGTAACAAAGTTTGAAAAACACAACAAAATATAATAACAAAACCAAAAAAATTCAATTTTGTAACAAAAATAAATAAAATAAAATCTGATTAAATTGATATTTTATCACTTCAATTCATAATCTTAACTACCAACTAGAATTTTTAACAAAATTCAATTTAACATATTCATTATTGAAGGATGTGCTTTAGTTTTGTCGTATAACTAGATTCGGTATAGATTTTTATTCAAAAAACAGTAAAATCTGCCAAAAAAAACAATTTTTTTTTTTAAATTTTCAATGTCGTATTAGGAACAATGTCGTAAGCCGAATAAAAATGATCCAAATTTATATCATGTCGTAACTCGAAATGTCGTATTAGAAGATGTCGTATCTCGAGGACTTAGTGTAATAATTTTTATAAATTATTAACAAAAAAAAAAAAAATTTATTTAAGAAATTAAATAAAAAAAAAACTTCTATACTATTTTTTTTATTTAATTATTTTTGGTTCTAAATTATTTTTATAATTTTTTTTTTGATTATTTTTAACAAAGTTTTATTAAAATTTTTATAAAAACCAAAAAAAAAAATACAATATTTTACTTTAATTAATTTTCTCTGTATGATTTTTATCTGTGATAATTTAAGATTTTTTAAAAAAAGTAAAATTAAAATAAAATTTTTAGATTTAATTAAATTAAAAAATGAAAAAAATACTTAAGAAAAAAAAAAATATAAAGAATGAAAATGCGAACGAATTGAATATGAATTAGAATGTTAAAAATATTATAAAAGAATTAGAAAATTTATTTATTTTTAATTATTAAATTATTATTGTTATAAAAATTGTATATAATCCAAGTATTTATATATAAAAAAAAAACTATTTATTTATAAACAAAATATTATTTATATTATGTACATTTTAAATTCATTTTGAAATTTAAAATCTATAATTATTAAATTTCCTAAAAAGAAATTTTACTCAATTATATTAAATAATTTCCCTACCATTAAATTAACTATTCACAATATAACAGAATTCAAAATGAATAATTTGAAAATTATTTCCCGTATCCTTTTAGACGCATCATTTAGGAGTTCTAAGATATTATTCGAAAATTTTGTAATTTTTAGAATAAAATTTGATATTGAAATTTTGAAATCTTAAATTTTAAATTGGAAACCCCAATATACTTTTAAATAATATTCAATTGCATTAAATGATGTGTCTAGAATAATATTATTGTATTTAAGAAATTTAAAAGAAAAACGTGGATATGTAAAAAAAAAAAAAAAAAACCTATCCCAAGTTCCTTTTTTGAATGAATAAAACTAACAAGAGAATTATTTGTCATTTTGTTAATATTATTTGATTTAAATGCTTGATTATTGTTAAATATAAAAAGTTTTAATTGTTATTTTAAACTAATTACTTAAATTTATTATTATATTTGCATAACTCTTTGGAAGTAACAAAAAAAAAATTGCATTATTATTATTTAAAAATTTCCAATGTAATATTATAAATTAGAATGAGAATTGATTAATAATAATTTGAAATAAGAAAACCAAAAAAAATGTTGTACCA